AAGAAAAGTCTAGGTCCCTATGGATTCACTGCTAAACTCTACAAAAATTTTTAGAGAAGATCTAATGCCACTACTCCTCAAACTCTGCAATGACATTGAAAAAGACGCTGTACTTCCAAAGACATTCCTGGAAATAAGCATTACCCTGATTCCAAAATGAGAAAAGGACCCAACCAAAAAAGGGAACCACAGGTCAATCTTATTATTGAACATAGAAGCACAAATCCCCACTATGCTGCAGACAAACAGAATACAGCAAATCATCCAAAATATCATACCTTATGACTAAGTGGAAGGTTACAGGATGGTTTAACATACATAAATCAATAAATGTAATTCATCCCACAAATAGAGGTAAGGACAAAAACTGTACCAACATCTGAATAGATGCATAAAAAGCATTTGGAGAATTTCAGCATCAATTTATGATAAAAACCCTCAAGAAAATAGGAATACTATAGTAGATTAGCTAATGGCCAACCTGTAGCACCCAGCTGAACTGAATCAGTATGGCTCTGGGTGTGCAAGGTCCACCTGAGGATTGATGCCTGTAGCATAGAAGGAGGACTGGAGGTGAAGACAGTGTGCTGTTAATTCTCCTGGGAAGGCTTCTCGTGCTGGCTTTCCTTACATGAACTCAACAGCTCTCATCATCGTGTTAAATCTATTCCCTTGTAAACCCTAACAACAACAAACTTGGTACAAGAAGTGGGGTCATTGCCGTGATGTTGCTGGCCCTGTGGCTTAAGAGCCTTGGGGGTTAATTTGGAAAGGTTTTGAGAGATTGTCTGAAGAGGAAGCCTCCACACACTGTAAACTATATTGGACACTCTGGGCAGAGCGTGGAAAAGCAGAGTATGGATGAGAATGCTGCTGCCTAGGATGGAATTCAAGAGGCTTCTGTTGGGGACTGCCTGGCTGCTGGGTCCCGTGTGTGTGTGTTGTGCTTTGGCAGGAAATTGCCCTGTATTTTGCTTGTTTAGAGATGTTGCCTGAGTGGCATAAAAGGTCAGCGCAGTCTATTGTTGAGGCAGGGGTACGGTTCCTGTTGAGAGCTTTTGGCTAGATCTGTCTTCAAAATTAAGAGTGAAGGGCTG